GTTTTCATTGGCCTGGAGACCCGGACATCCTCAGGGTTGAGGACCTCCCTCAGTTTGGCGGCCAGAGCGTCCGCCTTTTCGGCACTGCCGCTCTCAGCACCGGCCACCTCAAACAGCCGCGCACCCGTGGCAGCTTGCCTGAGGGCGACGGACTGAAGGCCAAGATCCGACAATTTGATCCTGGCCTTGGCCTCGGCGATGACCGACGCGTACGTTACGCCGCGCTCCGCCGCTCCTGGCTGTAGCGTGAGCGTCACAGCTTCGGATCGCGGAGCATGCAGCGTCGGTCCTTTGCGACCACCTTTGGCAGTCCGCCGCGCAGGCTGAGCAACCGCCTTTGCGGTTCGGCCGGGGGCGCGTGTTGCTGCTGAGGCCGCCTTAGCGGCTTTGCGGGCCTTCTTGCGGCCCACGACTGTCGCCCAGGTCTCACCCTTAGACCCGGCAGTCGTGGGCTGATCGCTCGGGGGAATTCCCTCCGCGGGCTTCTTGGCACCCTCCGCGGGCTTCCCCTTGCGAGACGCAGGTCTCGGCGGCTCCTCAGTCCTCCGCCGCGCATCGGCGGCTAGAGGCGGACGGATGATTTCCGCAGGGAGGCGCCGAGAAATCGCCTCAATACGAGCGTTCATCATGCTCCCGCACTGGAGCAAGCAGAGTCGGACAATGCGCTCGACCTCGTCATCGGTACGAGCGCTTGCCGGTCTCGGTGCGGGAGCCGGGGCCACCACGGGTGCGGCATCGGTGGACGTGCGTCGCTGCTGCTGCTCGCTCAGCGCAGCGACTTGCCGCCGGAGGTCCTCCAAATCATTACGGAGGCGGCCGTTCTCCTCCTGCAACTTCGTGACCTCGTCTGAGGCCGTCCTGTTGAGGAGGGTGCCAACCGCCTCCTTGATGTCCGCGGCAGCCTCCTTCAGACCGCGGGTGAATGTGCCCTTCAGGCTGCCAGATTTGGTGGCAACCTTCAGGACCAAGTCCACCCCGTCCAAGGCCAGCTGACTCAAGGCCACCGCGGATGGCTCCCCTTCTGCCGCTAGAGCAGCGCGTCGCTCGCGTGCACGTCGGGCCATCTCCGACACTTCGTCGGCCGCGACGGCTTTGCGCTGCTCCCTCCTGGTGGCATTGAGCTCCGCCTTGGAGCTCCCAAGCGAGGCACAGCTCTCGCCACCAGGGTCCTCTGTGGTGACCCCCATGTCACTTTCTGCTTCGCTGGCCGCCGGGGTATTGGAGCGCAAAAACCTCCCTTGCGCATCCCTCCGCGGCCGCGAAGCAGTCACCCCCTTTGAAGCCTGCCGACCTCTCCTCGCGGTCGGCAGCTTCGGAGCCAGCAGGCATTCCTCATCTGAGGACAGACCCACTGACCCATCTCCCACCAGAGCAGGGTCGTGTGGACGCTTCCTAACGGACGACGATCCACGCGACCCTCGAACATCCACGAGATTTACTCTCACGTCCAATAAGTGGCTACCAGTAGCATTATCAGCAACAGGGGCCTGGTCGCCTACCCCTGCGCGTCCATCGGTAGCTAATTTACCACTCGCAGGCCCGGGTACCTGCGAGCGCCGGGCGTCAGCCGGGTTGCATGACAAAACACACTCGTTATTGTCCGACATTTCATTAAAGGAATTGGGGGGGTACGCACATCGCTTCCCCAAGGCGATGCGGCCGCTCTTTTTGGGAGGGTATTTGGTCCTCCCGAGGCCCGCGGACGCCTCCGGTGCAGGATATACCGCCCGCTGTTCGGTATTTACAGACTAACTTTTTTTTTTTTTGGTATTTTTTATAATTTTGTATTGTTTTCTTTTGTTTTTATATTTTTTTATTTTTCTCTTTTTTTTTTTTTTTATTTTTTTTTTTTTTTTTTTTTTTTTTTTTTATTTTTTTTTTTCCTAACCTAACCTAAAATCTAACTAAACCTACCCTCCACCCGGCACCGTGACTCAAAAACCTCGCCACGATGCCCATAGACCGCGGGTTGAGGAGCAACCCACGGTCTTTCCCACCTCGGTCCCCGCGATGTACACGCTGCGGAGACCCGTAGACCGCGGACTGAAAAACGGCACGCGGTCTTCCCCACCTCGCTCCCTACTCGTGCACTCTGCAGCTGCAGAGCGCAGATAGGGAGCCCTCGGGAGCGACTCCTCCGCTCCGGCAGAAATTCGCCACAGACAACAATCTCCTCTTTCCCCGCCCCCCCGCGAAGAGATTATTGTCCGTGCCCAGGGTGCACCGGCCTAGCGACTGCTCTTCCCCCCGGACGTATCCAGAAGGGACCAGCAGCCACCGAGCGCACGAGGAGGTTTCCTGCCCTGCACCCCAACCTAACCTAACCTAACTTATCTAACCGGGCCCCCCAAGTTGGGAAGCAACGTTGAAAGCGCGCCTGCTGCACCCATCAGCTTGGGCGCCAGCCGCCGGAAGTGGGGACCGAATTCCCAACGGCTGTCGAGCACCAATCCCAGATACTTCATGGTGGACTCGACAGCTATCCGGGCCCCACTGACCACGATGTGTGATCCCGGCGCCGGCGCGCGTCGGGGGCCATGAAACACCATGGTCTCCGACTTGTTCAGGGACACCGCCAGCACCACCCCACCCCGGGACACCGTTTCCTCCACCAGGGGCCTCACGCGCATGATGGCATCTATGGTGGAGCGCCCCCGACGAAACCCAAACTGGTTCTCGTCTAGGTTCGGCCCCTCCCTGCACAAGTGGCTGACGAGGCGATCTGCGATAATACGCTCAAAAAGTTTGCCCGCCTCGTCTAGCAACACTATGGGCCGATACGCGGACGGCAAGTCCGCGGGGCGCCCCTCCTTCCTGAGCAATCATATTATAGGGAATTAAGCGATCCAGCGCCCATGCCACCGCCAGTGTGACCTTTCAGTGAGCATGACAACTCCAAGCTGTTATAAGGACCGACATTCTGCTAGTCTAAACAATTGTAATAGGTTACAGGGCACTCACATTTACAAATTTATCAAGTTATAGTTATACAATATAATGTAATTTCACTAAAATGAAGAAGTCCCATTCAAGCAAAATCCACTGAAACGTTATTTATTTTGGTGTAGGTTTGCTATCCTGTGGAGCAGGACCAGCATGTCTCCAAGCATCTTTATCTACAATGTAATCATTCAGTGTGTAGTATGCTTTTCTACATAAAGTTTTCTTTACACATAATTTAAAATTTCTTTCATTTAATTGTTGTATTTCGCCTGGGATTTTGTTATAACATTTAACACAGAATCCCATGAACGACTTGTGTACCTTTGCCAATCTAAATAATGGCTGACGTAATCTATCTCTATGTCTAGTTTGATAATTATGTCTATCTGACACCTTATCGAATATTTTTAAGTTTTTCCTTACATACATAACGTTTTCATAAATAAACTGACATGGCACGGTCATAATATTGATCTCTCTAAACTTTTCTCTAAGAGACTCACGACGCTTTAGGTTGTAAATAGCTCTGATGGCACGCTTTTGCAAAACAAAGATAGACTCAATGTCAGCAGCCTGTCCCCACAACAAGATGCCATACGACATAATGCTATGAAAGTAGCTGAAGTACACCAGTCTTGCAGTGTCCACATCTGTTAGCTGTCGGATCTTCCAGACAGCAAATGCTGCAGAGCTCAACCGTCCAGCCAGAGATGTGATATGGGGCCCCCATTGTAGTTTGTCATATATGGTTATACCCAGAAACGTAGTTTGTTTTACAAATTCCAATTTCTTACCGTTTAATAATATGTCACATTCGTTACTTTTAACACTTGGCAAACTGAATCGTATACACTTTGTCTTTTTGTCGTTTAGGACTAAATTATTAACTGTAAACCAATTCTGAACCTTCGTAATAGCATTATTTACGTCGTCATAATTATCTGTCCGTCTATTTATTTTAAAAATCAACGATGTGTCATCAGCAAATAATACCATTTCTGGTTCACGTTGAAATAATAAACGTTGAAAAAATACCTATTGATCAAGATTTAGGAGAAAAAGTGACAAGCATTAATATCAAAAGTTTACCTAGATATCGTCGAAATAGAAAATAAATATTATCAATGGATGTGTACGATGTGTGTGTGTGTATGGACGAGCAATATTGGCGTCGAGAAACAGTAGTGTTGACGAAATTTTAACTAAACTTAAAACAAGGGATATAGTCACTTAAACATCCATTGATACCGGATCAAGAAGATGCAGTCCATTATCTACAGGCATTTCTTAATTCTTTAATCCCGAGTGGCCTCCTACCACATTCTCTTAAGTTAAAAATTGGTGCCCCAATCATTTTACTTAGAAATCTTAAGCCACCAAATTTATGTAACGGGACTCGACTTCAGGTTAAATTTCTTCGCAATAACGTGATCATTGCAACAGTTTTGACTGGTCCAGCGGTTGGTCAAACATTACTTATACCTCGGATCCTAATGATTCCAAATGATTTGCCTTTTCATTTTAAAAGAATCCTATTTCCAATTTAATTATCTTTTTAAAAAAAATTACCTCTTTATAATATAAGTGTACTTAGATTAGATTTACGATAAGACTGTTTTCCGCACAGCCAACTATAGTTGGCTTTGTCGCGTTGTCAAGATCAGGTTGCGGAAACAATCAATATATTTTTCAGCCACAAGAAAATAAAACGAAAAATATAATTTACTCAGAAGTACTTTAAAATAATATTTTAACCCGATTTAAAGTGGACGGACACTCCCGCCTGTAGTCGTAATTCTTACGTGTCTGGCTGAATGTCGAAGAGATAGATAGCCTGTGGCTTATACAATTTAAGTTAATCTATATTTCTCTTAATATTATAAAGCTGAAAAGTTTGGTAATCTCGGCAAATACTGATCTGATATGAAAAGTGTTTAAATATTCAATAGTCCATTTATTGGGGGAGGCTATAATATAGGCCATATTTTATCTTGGTATTTCCACGGAAACGACAAAAACGCGGGTGAAACCGCGGGGCACAGCTAGTTCCCTATAATATGGTTGAGTTGGGCGATGCTGGTGTACGTGTCATGCTTGTGAACTGGCGCCGTTAGTCGGGACTGGTCAGCTCCGGACTGTCTATTATCCTTAAGGTTACTTTATTTTTATATTTGAATAAATATTAGTGTTACACTGTTCTCACATAATTGAACCAACTGTTTGTAAAAGGAATCTGTATGTGAAACTTATTTAAAAAGAGTAACCATGGAGTTTCTTGCTCGTTCTTCTCCAACGGAATCTACACTTTGGAACGAGCAAATAGCTTCACAAAGAGGACTGACCGACAGACTGACACTATATCTTCTAAATTTTGTTTGACGTTCAAAAGTGCCTGTAAAGGTCTTTGGAATAAATGATTTTTGACTTTAGTTTTATTTGCTTCAGTAAGGAGGACGTTGCCGGAGGTTGACGATTTCTGGTTTGTTCTATATTCTGAGCTTAAAGCATAAAAAACAACACAATGTCAAGATGACATTATATTGGGAACGTTTTCTTGTAATATTTAATTTAATATTACTACAATTACAATGTTCAAATTCTTATTTATTACCGAAATACAGAGTCCCGAAAAACTATTCTCTTCCTTCGGACCCCGTATATTTGCCTGCAGACCTCGATGAAGATGTTTACAATCACATTATCGAGCAGAGACCGGACTTGGAGGATATACTAAGTCGTCAGAGAAGAAGACTACTTCGGCTAAAAGAGATGCCTTACTCACAAAGTAGTCAGGACAAGACGACTGACGATGATCCTGAGGTGCTATTAGTCGAAAACGACGACGATGACATAACGAAGCCTTTAAGCGACTTCAAGGACGGGCGAACTACTCAATCAGCAAGAGTACCGCCATTCTTGGAAGAAAAGCATACAGGGTCAGTGGGTAGCCTTAGAGCAGTTAAGTCCAACGAATCACGGATGCTTCCTTTCTTAGGAAGTCGACGTTGGTGGATTTTCGGAGGAGGAGGTTCTGCGTGGGACGAGGCCTGGAAGATGTCAAATTGCTACTATTGTTCCATTGATGAAGACATTCCAAGGTCCCCAGTGTGTCATAGAATGTTCAATTCAAACGAATGGAAATACAGGACAGTGGCACGATATTATCGAACTGTATGTTATTACAACTGGAATCATCGTAACTCAGGGTATGTTAAGTACAAGTGGTACAGGTGGCAAGGCTCTTACACATATCCCGAATCCCGTGGTCTTACTCTGCACCGCATGGGCGGATATACACTTGGATGTTTTAAAAGGTATATAGATATTAGTGACGTCTTTTCTACCCGTGGTTGTAGAGCTTACTGGCCGTCGGTCGAAGGTGGGTTGGTTAAACACAGAATGGCCAGACTGCAGGTGCCGCTGGTGGACGCCATAAATACAACTTGCATAACTAGTCCTCATGCATCGCTGACTCCGTTCCACCGAGGTATCTCACTGTGGGCTCGCTACCACGTCTGCGTGTGCAAAGGTAGATATTGCAATAAAGCTATCCTCAGCGATGTTTATAAGCCGTTGCTGATAATAGGATTGTATATTTGTGCATTTTTAAATAAGTACTTACCAATGATGTGAAACTGAAAAAATGACATCGGCGTCAAATACGTAGAAGATTTGGGCATTAATCACCACACTTGTTCAAGACTTCTTGAGGAAACTTAGTCGTCATAATTTCAAATTACGATTACAACCTTCACAGTCTCGCATTGCAAATTTTCATTACAGAAATCTTAATACGGTTAAATCATCGTAATTTTCTGTGTTCTTAAGTTAGAGGGACTTAAGTAAGGAGGAGTCAAGTAAACCTGTCTGGTCAAGACACGAGTTTGTTACTAGCTAAACTAAGTCTAAATTAAGAAAATCTTAACTATAGATATTAGTATAATTTAGTTGTTTAGTTTGTCATTTTCACGTTGTATTTCTCATTGTGTTATTATAATTACTACTTCGTATTAGCTATTTGTCATTTGATGGGTATTCTTTGTTTCTAGTACTTATTGATTTTTTAAAACTTGTTCCTATATTTAAAGGATTAAAAGAACGGTTGTGACAGTTTTTATTTGTTATTTGCCACCTACCTATCAAATATATAAAACTCAACTTACCAGCACCTTATTGGGATACATCCTTACCCCGAGTCTCCTTCCACTCCTACTCTTGCGAATCTCCACTCAAGCCAGCCAATTAAGGCAAGAATGAGGTAGGAGGGCTTTGATCCTCATCAGTGTTCACTCCAGCTAGTCACGGGGACTAACCGGATATGAAGGACAAGACACCTCCCGAGTGTCAGGTTCGTGGGGTCCCGCTGGCCAACAGCTCGCCACAAGCTGCCTTGCGGATTTAATCTAACCCCCTTACTAATAAAGATTTACACACATCTTATAACAGAGGTAAAGCAGACTCGTTGCTAATAATCAACTTTTGACATTTCTCGCGTATACAGCTGTTTTAACCACTGAGAAAATTGTATGAAATTTTAGACAAGACTTATTCAGTCCGTGGACCTTGTATAACGTGTGAATAAGCGATCATTTTCGTGTTTTAACTATCCGACCAGTCAGACTCATAAAATAGATTTTTACATTATTTTGATAAAATGTGTTTGACGATCGTGAATTCCAAAAAATCAACAAAAAAGAAAGATAATTAATTTCGCATTGATCTTAATGTGGGGCACGGACCCTAATCAGGAGACGAAGAGAGTACCGTGCTGACCACACACTGTAGTTGCTGGGTTGGTGAGGAAATGAGGCACCCCTTTTGTGGTTTCGAAGATGTATATTTTCGCCGTCTTACAATGTTCCTACTATGTAGCAGCCGTTTTTCTCTTATTCTTGCTGTTTCTTCTTTTCCTTTCTTGAGGAGGTTTTTTTTTGTGAGCGGAAAATCAGGGAAATTATCAAATGACTTCTCCCGCCCAGGGACGGGAGGGAGGAGTGTTAGACTCTTACTGACTAAAAACCCCCCTGTTCCTGCTCTGTGCCGAGGTCGCGGTGTGCGCATTCCGCCACGCACTAATTTGGCGCGGCAGAGGATCTTCGCCCCGGCGACGCGCGTCTGCGCGCAAACTATAGACGCGCGCGAGCGCCTTCGCTTCCAGATCCCATGGCGGTGATCCGGCAAGGAGGTTCGCCGCCTCACCGGAGATCGTGCGATATCCGCGGATTATTCGGATAGACATGACCCTCTGGGACGCGACCAGCGTACGAGCCGGCCGCCGCTTCAAGTCCGGCGCCTACACAGGGGCACCGTAGAGGGCCATGGATCGCACAATCCCCATATATAACCTCCGGCAGGAGGCGTTTGGCCCACCGAGGTCGGGAAGGAGCCGCTTGAGCGCGGCCCCAGACCGTTCCAACTTAGGAGCCAAACGACGTTCTTGAGGAGGTAGTGCTGCCAACGGTGTCGGCTCTCGAAACCAATGGGTCTTTTATACGAAATCCGGGCACGAAAATTCCCTTACTCTGATTGGTTGACCAATCAGAGCGCTTACATTTCTGCAAATGAGCATCAAGTTAGAATTCTCTCGAAGCTTAAGTACTACGAAGCTTCGAGAGCTTTCGAGAGCAGGTTACTTTAAACTACGTTTTTACCTATTATTTTACATTTTACGTATCACAAATTTTATATTTTTATGCTCAGAAAACTATTTTCTATCTTATAAAAATAAAATTAATATAAAAACTGACAATAAGTTACATTATAGAAATTTCGAGAATGTTCTCAGAAGTTTCCGGCTCTCCTATTGGTCGGCGCTATTTGGGACTCTAAACTCTAAATTGACCAATAAGAGATTAGATTAACACAATTCTATCAAGCAAAACTTATTATCTATTTAAATATTCAATTTTAACGATGTGTCTTAATTAACTATCTATCTATACATACCTATGTCGTTATAGACTGGTAAACAATAGGGAACAATCTCTATGAAACAAAGTAATGCTATTCAAAAATAAGTAAGTAGGTACATAAGTCTATATAGGTCTTAACTCTATTACCTATGTATCAAAACTATTTTCAAAAAACAAAGTATCTATCTAACCTATTTCAGAGATCTATCTATACGCCTATTTATTACTATTTATGAATCATAAAACACGTACTATCATGAGATCCATGTTAGAACAAAACGTAAACTATTGTAAAGAACTTGTATCTAAACAATACTAATAAGAACTTATCTCTAACAGTCTTATTAGGAACTATTAATTATAATACAGGGCTTAAACAGACACTTAACGAAGCCGAAAGCCACATATTCTACGCATTATTTGGATCATTTTTTTCTTTAAGACCATAGCTGGGACTCCACAGGTTGAAGGTCAAAGATGCATTTCTGCGCTATCGAATTCTAAGTATTATTACAAAACTTTTTTCCAAACAAACATTACCTGAATTTTCGATTTTCTAAATAAATTACGAACAGTAATGTACGTAATACATAAATACAGACCCGCACAAAAAACAATATAATAAAAAACATATTAATAATCAAAGTTTTCGACATATATACTGTACTGTCATCAATATCATTAATTAAATGGTTAGCCATAATTATTAAAATAAAAGTAAAAAAAATGATGATTATTATACACTAGGCGGCGCTCTTAGGCGCCTTCATTTTAGTCAATAGAATTGATACATCAATTCTATTGACTAAAATGAGTCTTTTTGAGACTAAAATGTACCTTGTTTCTGCTGTCTTCTTTGCCGGGCATTCCAGGTCACCAGTTTTGTGGCTGATTGGTTTTTTAAACCGACAGCATGTTGCACATTTTGGCGGCTCATTCTTCTGTGTGCAATCTTTGGTCTCATGTCCTTGCCGGCCGCAATGTCGACATGTATTTGTTGTTTCGCGACAGGTTCTTGCCGCATGTCCGTATTGCTGGCATTTAAAGCACCGGTTTACGAGAGTATAATCACGTACAGGGCAGGAAGTCCAGTTGATATAAACCCTTTCCTGGTTGATAAGGGCTTTCCTAATATTAGCCGAGACTTCTAGGATAAAGTTGCATGTTTGTGCATCCTTGACTTGTGGCTTAATTTAATGCAAGACAAGAAGGACTCTCGCGACATGTTACAGAGCTTATCTGCTACATTCTGCTCGTATATGCATTCCAATACTTCATTGTCTCGGAGGGCTGCAGGTACACCTACTACCACAATTCGTGGTCTTTTTTTATAAGGCTCTTCAACTTTGAAACCGGAACTGCTGAGCTGTGTTGATCTCTTGAGTTTTTCAATGTCCTCTTTTGAGTCAGTGCTGATAATCACGCCTCCGTCCCTCGTTTTCCGTACTCCTCTAACGTGCAATTTCATCTGCTCCGGATTTATTATTTTTTGGACAAGTGTTTAGTCTCGTTGCTAGATTTTAGTGCATCGCTCGGGTATATTGCAATGGACTTCAGATTAGATGGGCGCAGGACACTAGTTTTGTTGGTCTTGAGTACATCAACAAAAGATACACTTTTAACTTATAGTCGTATTATTTATATATTTTATTATATATAGTATTTTCTTTGATAGTCTCCTTGATGGACTTTTTGAAGTCGTTGAGGCACGCAGCAAGATCCTCTATTTCTCTGATTGAGTCCAGGGAATGTTTAAGCATACATGTCCTTTGCTTCATGGCCTGGTAGTGCATAGCCATTTGGGAAACTCCATTCGCAATCCTTCGCGACAATGTATTGATGCACAACTTTTGCTCAGAGTTCAGCTTTCCGTCTGCAGCAATTTGGCACACGTCAGTGAGGGCCTTTTCAATGGTAGACACAATGACGTATTATATATAGACACGTCATGAACCAACATCGCGGCGCTTAAAAACGGCGAAAATACTAGATAACTACTTCTACGAGTAAAGAAAGGGAAAGAAAATATGACATCGTATAGTGGAATGCCTTTGCTAGAGGGAGATAAATATACATCTTCAGTTACATCGGCACGTGACTATACCTTCATGCGCCGGCCGCCATAAGATGGCGGGCGCCGGCGTCGAAAAAATAAAATAAAAATAGGTTGTTTGGTGAACTTACGCATGAAATGACACATTTTTGTCTTTAACTTTTGGAGTATAATTTGTACATCGTCTGAACACACACGACGGCATGCTTTCTTTATGTTTCGCACAGGTTTACACACACGATATAAATTAAAAACAAACGTAGCGTCGCGCGGCAGGTTGGTGCGTAACTAAGCGCGATGTTGTCAATTGCCTTCATTTCATGTTGTCATTTTAGAGCGCGGGCAACGTATCTATAGTTTTATACATCATTGGGTAGACATCCAACCTTTGATGTCACTGGTAGAAAGTGCTTCTAGAGGCTCGTCCGCGGCATCTTCCTTCGGCTGCGGAGTGCTGGGAGGGCTGCGACTCGTCTTTGAACTCCGATTGAAAGGGCTATTTTCCATGTTAGCCATAGTTGTCTGCGTTCACAACATAATGTATACAAGTACAGTACAATAATTATTACATATAAAATAAATATTGCAAGAGAGGCACGTCTGCTCGCTGCCGAGTATGAGAGAGGCTACGTCTCCGTGATAGTGTGCTGCATTGATGCTGGCTATCCATGTTATCCTATTTAAGACGAATACAAATCTCTGTAGTTAAGTGCACAATTTGTAAATGTGTACCTTCCAGTTACAATGTTTGTCCAATGTTATTCCCAATAAATAATTTTTAACAAAAATATTCCGACTTCAAAAGTAAACTAAAAAGTAAAAAATAAATTTTCTTTGTAGAAATTAATACATGTTTTCGTTTAGTTAAATAGAAAATAATATTAACCATTTTATAATTTTGAATTCGATGCCAAGTAAAACAAAAATAGAGTAAAGATTACCTATAACACACAACAAGCAACAAGAATACCTATTGTTAGTTTGATGAATAGGAGGTACCGATCAATATATTTTTCTGTTGTTGTTTTGGTATGACTTTGATGATTCACTTAGCACCGACTTGAAGATTAAAAAATGGTTAATTAATATTATTTTCTATCTAACTAAACGAAAACATGTATTAAGTAGGTAATTTCTACAAAGAAAACTTATTTTTTACTTTTTAGTTTACTTTTTGAAGTTGGTATATATTTTTTAAAATTATTTATTTCACCATTTTAAGTTTTGTAGGCAGAGCAAGCAAGTATAATGGTTTTTGAATGACGACGACGCCTACTTGAG